TCTCCAGGTCAGGCAAACAAGTCCTTTGTATTCTCCAAACCCACTTGAGCTCTTGGCGCCAGAACTTAGGCTTCAATCTAGGCCATCTTCCTCGTGGGCCTACCATTCAATGTCTGCCTCAGTGCTCCTACTGAAAAGCAAGAATGAGAATCAGGAGACCCAGGTTGGGCTAGATGTGAGTAGCAACTGCCTCTCCCTCTCTCCTTCTGAAACTCCCAGAGCCTCAGTTTCCCCATCTACAAAAGGACTTGCTGAGCAACAGGGATTCCCCTTTACTAGGGTGGTCTGACTTTATAGGGATGGCCAGCAAGTTTTGGGGAACAATCTCCAGCCCCAGGCAGAATCCCAGCTTCATAATGGCATCTCCCTGAACCAGAGTCTTTACTTACCTGAGCCTTCTTCATTCAACAAGTCTCCTCACCCTCACCCTTTTTATTTGAATGGAGTCTCATGTATCTTATGTTAATCCCAGGCTAGCCTGAAACTTACTATGCTCCTCTGCCTCCACCTCTGAAGTCCTGGGATTTCAGGTGTGTACTACCACCCCTAGCAAAAAGTTGTTACCAGGGAACATTTCCAAGCCAGGAGCATTCCAGGCTCTGGAGGACAGTAGGGAACATGGCTGTGATTCTGCTGTTGTGGAGCTCACAGCCTCCCAGGGAGGAAGTTCTCTGCTGGGGACATCATGATTGGCAATATCTGGTATTCTAGTTTGTTTCTCCATTGCTGCGACAAAACACTTTGACCAATACCAACTTGGGGAGGAAGAGGAAAGGGTTTATTTGGCTTGCATCTCCCGGGTCACAATCCATCACTGAGGGAGCCCAAGGTGGGAACTCAGGGCAGGAACCTGGAAAGGCCATGGAGGAATGCTGCTTACTGGCTTGCTCTCCGGGCCCATGCTCAGACTGCTTTCTTATACAATACAGAAAAACCTGCCCAGGGGTGGTACCACATCACTCAATAATCAAGAAGATACCCCACAGACATAGCCACAGGCCAGTGCAATGGAGGCTATTCACCAATTGAAGCTCCCAGGTGTGTCAAGTTGACAACTAAAGCTACCCAGCACATCTGGGGACCTATTTTTGTTGTCCCAACTAGAAGGATGCTATTCACATTTAAGTAAAAGCCAGGATACACTGCATAGCATAGACCAAACAACTGATAATTGTCAAACCCTTCTAATCAATGCCAACAAGGCTAAGACTCTGGCTAGGACTCAGGCCATAAGGAAAGCAACAGTGTACCATGACAGGGAGTAATAGGTGGAGTGTAGAGTGGACCAGAGGTCAGGGAGTCCTGTTGGGAGGGTGGAGCAATGTGGGGTTCGGGGTCAGGGAATCTGCTGCTTGAACTAAGAGCTGAGAAAGTGAAGGTTAGAGCATTTGGGTTGTAGAAAGTGCACTCTAGGCTGGGGAGGATGCCGATGCAGAAGTCCTGAGGTCCAGTGCCTGGTGAGTTTAAGGACCAGCATGAGGAGGCCAAAGTGGCTGGAACAGAGAGAACAAGGGAGCAAGGGGGACAGGATAGGGTGGAATGAGCAGTTTTGAGACAGATCACATGGCATGACTTCCGCTACCTCTGAGTGAGACATGGGCCTTGGAAGGTTGTGAGCAGAGGAGTGGCCGGATTCGACCTAGGTTTTTTGGTTTTGTGTTTTTGAAGCAGGGTCTCCCTGTAGCCCCAGCTGTCCTGGAACTTGTTATGTAGACCAGGCTAGCCTCGAACTCTCAGAGATCCGCCTGCCTCTGCCTCCCAAGTGCTGGGACTACAGGCGTGTGCCACCACACCTGGCTTGGGTTTTGTTTTCTTCTTTTTTTAAAATATTTTATTATTTTTATTTTATGTGTATGCATGTGTTGCCTGTGTATAGGTCAGTGCACCTGTGTTGTGCAATGCCCACGGAAGACAGAAGAGCTGTGGGATCCCCTAGGACTGGAGTTACAGTCAGTTGTTAGCTGCCATGTGGGTGCTGGGATTCGAACCCAGGTCCTCTGCAAGAATAGCCAGTGTTCTTAACCTCTGAGCCATCTCTCCAGCCCGGGTTGTTGTTGTTGTTGTTTTGTTTTGTTTTGTTTTTAAAAAGGCTCTCTCCAATAGGATGGAGAGGCAAGGACAGAGGAGAGAGGGACAGAGGGAGAGACGGCGAGAAGGAGAGGAAAAGCAAGAGGCTGGGGTAAATGGCAGCAGGAGGTGCTGAAAAATGGTCAGATTCCTGATCTCTTTCTGAAAACGAAGGCAACGGGATTCACTGAGATACTGGTCAAGGGGTGTGGGACAAACAGCGGAGTGAAGGATGAGCTCAAGTTTTGGTGCCTGAACCAATGAAAGGATGGACTTTGCTCTCCTGAGAAGGGGAGTAACCCCGTGTGCTTCTTGGACATGGGCCTTGTAAGACAGACTTCTGCACTTAAGGCCAGTGCTTCCTAAGCCCTGCTTCTCACAGACTGGTTGGGTCAGTAGTGCCAGCCTGGGCACTGTGAGGTGATCAGCAAAACCAACTTGATCCCCTCCTGCATCAAGATTTGCTCAGAAAACTAAAGATTATTTGTCTGTGCTCTGCAGCTGACATAACACATCTGTGAGAGTTGCTATACAACAGCCCCGCTGAGCTCAAAGAACTGGACACATTTATCCCCATATTGTAGATGAGAAAAATGGAAACCAGGCATGGCGGCCCACACCTATACTCCCAGCCACTGCTGCCCAGTGAGACTTGCTTGCATCAAAAGACAGTAAAGAGAAGGAAAGTGAGGCAAAGGGAAGAGAAGGGGGGAATGGGGCGGGGAGGGGAAAGGAGGGAGGAAAATGAAGGCTCAGAGACAGCTTCAAAATCACACAGCAGATCTGTGACAGAGTGATGGAATCTGGACCAGTGTCCTGAAAGACAGAACTTCATCACTTTCCCATTCCTGGCCCAAAAGTGTTACAGTGTTGGGAATCCAACCCAGACTCTTGCAGGTGCTAGGCAAGCACTCTACCTTTAAGCCACAGCCGCAACTGGTTCAAAAGCCTGTTAAGAGCTGGGTGTAGACCCCATGCCTTTAATTCCAGCACTCAGGAGGCAGAGGCATATGGACCTCTATGAGTTCCAGACCAGCCAGGGATATATAATGATACTCTGTTTCTAAAAACAAAAACAAACACAGACTGCTAAGAATGTAACAGAATGGATTAAAACCAGGCATGAGAGGTAGGAAGATCAGGAGTTAGAGGTCATCCTCAGCTACATAGTAAGTTCCAGGTCAATCTAGGTTACAAGGGGCCTTGTCTCAAAACACAACATCCCCACATTAAGAGCAAGTACATCAGGTGGTTCACAACTGCCTGTAACTCCAACTCCAGGAGGAATCCAATGCCTTTAGCCTCTGTGGGCACCAGCACTTACATGCACAACGCCCCCTCCCATACATAATTGAAAATTAAATAAACAAAATAACAACAGTAAAACACGCAAAGACTATAAAGGGTTAGCTGCTATGAGTGACTATAATACCAGCCACCCAGGATTCTGAGCCAGGAGGAAAGCTAGAACCCAGGACTTTGGGACCAGCCTTGGCAACATAGTGAAAATCCATCTCTTTAAAAAGTAATAAATATCCCAGGTATGTGGTGCACACCTTTAATCCCAACACTCAGAAGGTAGAGGCAGATGGATCTCTGTGAGATAGAAGCCAACCTGGTCTACATAGCAAGTTCTAGGCCAGCTGAGGCTTACAGGGAGACCCTGTCTCAAAAAGACTGCAAAAAAGAGTAAAAAGAGAATTCAGAGGCTGTGCAGGGGTTAAACCTCCATTCAGCTCTGCAGGGGCCATCCTGGGTGCCTGGCTCAGTGCACAGGCCTCCAGAGGCTTCCAAGAGCAGTGGGAGGAGGACCCTGGCCAGGCCAGGCAGCAGGCCCTGGGGGTAGGGAGGGCAATGTGATGCATGCATCATACACGCATGTGCCATTGTATACCATGTGTCCATACATGGCCTTGCACAGGTTGCCCCATAGACAGTCCTGCTCACCCTGAGCATAGCCCAGCCCCCACCCAGTTCCTAATCCCTGCACCCTGCCCTCCTGCAGCAGGAGCCCAGAGAGGCATTTCCTGTTTGGGGGCTGCCTCCTCCCCCTCTAAGTCCAGGTTCCCAGGGCCCTAGCTGTGCAAGCAGTGATGGGAGGGCCTGCACACCCCCTCCTGAGCCACCTCCTCACTCCTCACCCCTTAATGCTGGCCCCACTGGAGCCAGAAAGCTTGGGAGTGAGATGGGCTGAAGAAGGGACTCAGCAAATATGTATTTGGAGCGAGGTTGTCATTTGAGGGTTATCGATCTGGCTCCCATGCAGGGCCTGAGCAGGAATAAGAAGTGCTTCATAGGTTAGACCATGTAGCATGCCACATCATCCTGGCTTGTCCACTAAAGACACAGCATGTCAGGAGGCCTGCATGTGTGGGAGGGGTCTCCGTGGGCCACAGTGAGGCAGGGGCTTGGCTGTCTGAGATGGATAGGGTGTCAGAGAGAGTGCTGTTGCCAGGAGTGGTCAGAGGAGCCTGCACACATATGTGTGATGGGAAAGGGCTGGGCCAAGCACATTGAGCATTGGTGTATTGAGATTGGTGAATCCAGGAATCCAGATTCGGGTCTCCCTGAGTCTCTGGAAAAAGCATCCTCACCCCAGCTGCCTCAGGGGCAGGAGCATACTGGGGTTTTCAGAGGGTCTTGCGGCGGGGGGCGGGCGGTCGGTGCCTCTCAGGCAGCCGGGTCACCTTTCCCCTGACTCCCATCTTTGTGGGACCCGAAGTGGCCCGTTAACTGCGCCTCCTCCCCTCTTCTGCCCTTCGCCTCACACCCCAGAAACCCCCACCCCACTGCTTCCTGCTCGGGCAGCCCCCGGGGAGCTAGCAGGGCGCTGGCAGCGGCCCCAGCCCACTCCTTACAAGGCCTGAGCCGGCCGGGTCCGCCCCCGGCCCGCCCGCCGGAGGCTCGGGTCCCTCCCCTTGTCAAGAGCAGCCGCAGGCCCGGGCCGGGCCAGTCGGGGGGCGTCGCGATGCTGCTGCGCCTGCTGCTGGCCTGGGCGGCCGCGGTGCCCGCGCTGGGCCAGGCCCCCTGGACGCCCGAGCCCCGAGCCGCCTGCGGCCCCCGCAGCTGCTACGCGCTCTTCCCTCGGCGCCGCACCTTCCTGGAGGCCTGGCGGGCATGCCGTGAGTTGGGGGGCGACCTGGCAACGCCGCGGACCCCGGAGGAGGCCGGACGTGTGGACAAGCTGGTGGGCGCCGGACCGGCCAGCGGGCTGCTGTGGATTGGGCTGCAGCGCCAGGCTCGGCAATGCCAGCCGCAGCGCCCACTGCGGGGCTTCACGTGGACCACTGGAGACCAGGACACGGCCTTCACCAACTGGGCCCAGCCAGCCACCGGAGGACCCTGCCCGGCCCAGCGCTGTGCAGCCCTTGAGGCCAGTGGGGAGCATCGCTGGCTCGAAGGCTCGTGCACGCTGGCTGTGGACGGCTACCTGTGCCAGTTTGGTTTCGAGGGCGCCTGCCCGGCCTTGCCGGTTGAGGTGGGCCAAGCCGGTCCAGCCGTCTACACTACGCCTTTCCACCTGGTTTCCAGCGAATTCGAGTGGCTGCCCTTTGGCTCCGTGGCTGCCGTGCAGTGCCAGGCTGGCAGGGGAACCTCTCTGCTTTGTGTGAAGCAGCTGTTGGGTGGTGTTGGTTGGTCCCACACTGGGCCCCTATGCCCAGGGACTGGCTGTGGGCCAGACAACGGGGGTTGTGAACACGAATGTGTGGAGGAGGTGGATGGTCATGTGTCCTGCCGATGCGGCGAAGGTTTCCGTCTGGCAGCAGATGGGCACAGTTGTGAAGATCCCTGTGCCCAGGCCCCCTGTGAGCACCAGTGTGAACCTGGTGGGCCACAAGGCTACAGCTGCCACTGTCGCCTAGGCTTCCGACCAGCTGAGGATGAGCCACACCGCTGCGTGGACACAGATGAGTGCCAGATTGCTGGTGTGTGCCAGCAGATGTGTGTCAACTATGTTGGTGGCTTTGAATGCTATTGCAGTGAGGGTCATGAGCTTGAAGCAGATGGGATCAGTTGTAGCCCTGCAGGAGCCATGGGAGCCCGGGCTTCCCAGGACCTTAGAGATGAGTTGCTGGATGATGGGGAAGAAGGGGAGGATGAAGAGGAGGCCTGGGAAGTCTTTGATGGTACCTGGACAGAGGAGCAGGGGATCCTATGGATGGAGCCTACACAGCCACCTGACTTCGGCTTGGCCTATAGACCCAACTTCCCGGAGGATGGAGAGCTGCAGAAACCGCACCCAGATCCTACCTGGCCACCCCCACTCAGTGCTCCCAGAGACCCCTACCACTCCTCAGTGGTCTCTGCCACTCGGCCCATGGTGATCTCTGCTATGAGACCCACACTACCTTCTGCCCATCAGACCCCTATTATCTCGGCCACACACCCACCGCTGAGCCCTGCCCATCCACCCCCCATGGTCCCTGCCACACACCCAGCTGTGCCCCCTCAGCACCAGATCCCCACAATCAAGACCGACTATTCAGACCTCCCTTTTGCCCACCAGCCCCGGATTGTCTCTGTCCCTCACCCAGCTCATCCCACTGCCTACCAACCCCCCATTATCTCAGCCAAATATCCTCAAAAGTTCCCTGTCCACCAGTCTCCTATGTTTCCAGACACCCAGACTACTGCTCATTTGCCCCGAATCCCACCTAACCTTGCCCCTGGCGATACCACCCCCAGACCCCGTCAATCTCCTCTGATCCCAGATGTTCCAGGCCATAGAACCCAGGCTCCCCAGCTTCACATTCTCTCCACTGTCCAGCCCTCTCTGTCCACCACCTCTAGGCCTCACCAAGCCCCTATGCCTTCTGACACCCAGCTCCCAGTCCTCCCTACTCCCCTGTCCTCTCAGAGCCCCACTAACCAGACCTCACCTAGCAGACCAATGCATCCCTATTCTAGAGCCCCCCAAGTCCCAAGGAAAGGAGTTCCCAGTCCCAAGTTGGTCTCATGGCTACCATCAGTGGTCCCTACAGCAGCTCCAACAGCCCTGGCAGAGGCCGGTCTGGCAGGCCGAAGCCAGAGGGATGATCGGTGGCTGCTGGTGGCACTCCTTGTGCCAACGTGTGTCTTCTTGGTGGTCCTGCTTGCACTGGGCATTGTGTACTGCACCCGCTGTGGCCCCCATGCGCCCAACAAGCGCATCACTGACTGCTATCGCTGGGTCACACATGCTGGGAGCAAGGGCCCAACAGAACCCATGCCCCTAGGAGGCAGTCTCACAGGGGTACAGACCTGCAAAACCAGTGTGTGATGGGGTACACATGCCCCCCCTCACCCCCACGGGGTAAGGGGAAAGTGACATATGTTGGACATATGGCTGAGGTTGTACCAGGGACCCATGGGGTTTACCCAGCTGGACAGAGGGCATCCTGCTGCCTGGGCCCAGCACTCATGGCAAAGGACACACCAAGGCCTCCAGGACCTCAGGGGGTGGGTGCTGGGGTCTTCTCCAATAAATGGGGTGCCAACCTCACCCAAAGCTCCTGATCGCCATTGATGCCTGAGGGAAGGGCCTGGGAGGACTCAGAAAACAAGGAATGGAACTTCCTTCCATTTCTGTAGGTAAGACCCCACTTAAGAGAGGGCATGCTTCAGAATTTTCAGGGAAACAAGCCCCAGAGGGTAGAGCTTTAAGCACTGTCACACAGCAACCCAAGAGTCTGGAGGGTTGGCAAGGGGAAAAGCCCAGATTTATTCCTCTTTTTTTTTGCGGGGGAGTCTTTTTGAGACAGGGCCTCCCTGTAGCCCCAGCTGTCCTGGAACTCACTATGTGAGTTGGCTGGCCTTGAACTCAGAGAGATCCGCCTGCTTATTCCTCTTTTTATTGAAACTTCAAGAAAGTGGGGAATGAATCTGAGGGAAAGTCTTGAGATGAAGAGCTCTTCAACTGCAGCCAGACTGTGGTTTGGGAGTCAAAGGTGGGGTGGGGCTGGGGAGTCAGGGGAGAAGGGGCATCAGTGTGAGCATCTCTGAAATGTCTTCTGAATATTTCTCCTTACCCTCATTGGCTCTCCAGAAGTCATCCAAGGATGTTGCCACCCTAGGTTGTAGATGCCCCTCCTTCATGCTCTGGGGACACTGGAGCCGAGGGGAGCTAGGATGATCTCAGGAGTAAGGCCTTTGCATTAGGGACCACACTTTAGTCGGAGCGGTGTAGCTAGGAGAGAGCCCAGCAGACCCCAGCTTGAGTGAGGGTCCAGGCTGTTCTAGGCTGGTGTTCCAGGAAGCTAGGGAGGGGCTGGTCAAAGATCACTGCCTGTGGGATAACCTCCCCCATCCTTGGCTGACTGTCCTGGGGGGGAGGGGACGGGTCGGGACCCGGGAGAGGGAGGCGCCGGTTCCATCACCTCTATAATTTTTAGCTTCAGCCTCCCAGGGCCTCTAATTAGGACGGGGCGCAGCCGCCACCCCCATCCGGGCAGGTGAGGAGGGGTGTCCCAACGCCCTTTCCCTACCCGAAGCCCCGTGGCCACCTTTTAGGCCAGGGATTGGGCCTCAGGGGACCAAGAATGGAGGGGCCGGAGCTGGGGATCGATCAGTCGGGGGTGGGGGTCGCAGAAGGGGCGGAGGAAAGGCTGCGCACCGCCCAGGTGGCCACTCTCACGTTTCCCTAACTCAAACCAGACGCCCCCGCTTCCCAGCTTTAACCTCCGAGACGCCGCCGTAGGGGAGGGGGGCGGTGGTTGATGGATGGGAGTGGAGGTCGCGGGGTTTTCCAGAAAGCCTGGGTCTGAAGAGATGCGGGAGCCTCACAAGGATTGACTGTCTGCCTTCCAGAAAGCCTGGGTCTGAAGAGATGCGGGAGCCTCACAAGGATTGACTGCTGGGACAGAGGCTTGGAGCTCTTTCCCGTGACCCCTGGCAGAGGGTCCACAGCATCCTGGGGCCAAGAAAGAGTTAAATGCGCTGCAGTCCGCAGGGGGGGAGGGTGTGGGGAAGGGGGCCCAGAGCCGGCTCTTTGTCATCCCGTAATGAGCACCAGATGCGGAGCTGCGTGCGGGCCTAAACAGTCGGCCTCCCAGGGCACAGCCCCCCTCCGCCTGCGCCTAGCCCAGGCTCCGCCTAGGCCGAAAGCTAGCTTCAGGCCCCGCCCACTAACTCTCAAGCCCCGCCTCACCCAGGCGAGGCCCAAGATTCCGTAGCTATCAGCCTGGCCCTTCCCAGCCATAAGCCACGCCTAGGGTGGGGGCTCCATAGGCCCCGCCCACCAAGGCCGCAGCCGCGCCCCTTGCCAGCTTGGAGGTTCTTGCAGCGTTTGGCCCCGCCCCTCTGTCCTATCGGACCCCCCCCAACACAGGCTCCACCCCCTTCTCCAGGGCGCATGCAAAATAGTGGAGATTTTTTGTTTTTTTTAATGTATATGTGTGTATTGCCTGCATGTAGGTAAGTACACGTGTGTCGTGCAATGCCCACGGAGGACAGAAGAGGCTGTCGGATCCCCTGGAACTGGAGTTACGGACAGTTGTTAGCTGCCCTGTGGGTGTTGGGATTCGAACCTGGGTCTTCTTCAAGAACAGTGTTCTTAACACCCAGACTAGTGGAGTTTGTAAATCCTTCCCGAAGGCTTGAACTCCGCCCAGCTTGCACGTTCTCACGCAGTCTAGGGCCCCGCCCCTTCAAGGAGTCTGCAGCTCTGCAGGGAATCCCGCCCGCCGAGATACCAACTGTTCCAGAGAGACGCCAATGCCGCCCTTCAGAGCGCGAAGTGGACCTCAAGCTCTTCTGCAGGCTCACCCCAGGGGAAGGACTCCGAGGTACCTGGTCACCTGCTCAGGCCCTTCTCCGGCCAGCCCTCAGAAGATGCTCACAAGCCCCGCCCCTTTCAAATCTCTCCTGCGGTCGAGATTGCTCAGGGGTTAAGGGCACTTGCTACCAAGCCTGACGCCAAGTTCGAACCCTGAGATCCACTTAGTGGAAGGAGAGAAGTGAGTCCCCAAGCTGTCCTCTGATCCTCACACACACACTACTGGCAAGTGTGCGCCCGCACTCCCCCTCCAGATACATACAAAATAAATAGATTAAAAGGTAATTTTTTAAAAAATGGGCTGGAGAGATGGCCCAGCAGTTAAGAGCACTGGCTGCTTTTGCAGAGGATCTGGGTTCAGTTCCCAACACCCACACGGTGGCTAACAACTGTCTGTAACGCCAGTTCCAGGGGAATCTGACGCACTCTTCTGTCCTCCAAGGGTATTGTCCTTACATGCAGGCAATACACTCATACACATAATATTAAAAAATTAATTAATTAAAAAAATAAAAGCCCTCTCTCTAGACTCTCCAGCACCCAGGGAAAGTAACCCAGCCTGCCTGTCATGCCTTGCCTCCTGCTTATGGCTAGCCGAGTCCCACATTTAGGCTCCTTTTTCCCAGATGTAAAACATGCGCGCGCGCGCACACACACACACACACACACACACACACACACACACACACACCTGAGTCGCCTGTGGTGCTCAGGGCATACACAGACCTGTTGATTCTCCAAACTCCCCATCTCTTAACTAGAATGCCCCTGAACCCAGCCCTGAGTCCTGGTGTCCAGTCAGCTGGATTTCAGTTTTCATGGGAGAGCCAGGCAGATGGCCTTAAGGAGTGGCTATCCGGCGCCACCTGGCTTTGGCCCTGCAGATTTGCATCCTCAGAGAGGCCTCACCGGTCCCTTCCCTCAAAGCATAATTGTTCAATAGTTACTTGATTTGTTAAATGGTTGTGCTACTTAAATGTCTGCCCACTCCCCAGCCCCACAAGGTAGTCTTCCTCATGTTGGGTAAGTCTGTCCCCAAGAGTACTTCATGCCAGCCACACTTTTAAGTGGCCCTGAAGATCTTTAAATTGGATGGTGGGTAACACTCTCCACAGTCCCAGTTTCAGAGGTGAAAACACAGCTGGTCTCACTTTTCCCCCACAAGTGCCCTTTCTCTCCCTGGCTCGTGGTTTGGCTGTGAAGCCTTGTGTGGAGGCTGAAGGTGGTAGTTTTTAGGGAAGTGTTGCATCATGCAGTATCTTAGGGCAGATCTCTTTCAGCCTCAAAATGACTTAAAAATACTTTCCATGGCCTGGACTGGTGGCACACACCTTTAATCCCAGCACTCAAAAGGCAGAAGCCGGTGGATCTCTGTGAGTTCGAGGCCAGCCTGGTCTACATCGTGAGTTCCAGGACAGCTGGGGCTACAGGGAGACCCTGTCTCAAAAAGACAAAAATAATCCCTGTCAGATGGGGATTATTCCCAGTGGAGAAGCCATTGACTACAAGGCTTCTGCCTGACATCTTTCCTAACTTGCATTAAAAGGCACTGGTTAAGTTTAAATGCTAACCTTGCCCATAGCCCCTCTCAGGACAACTTCAGGCCTAGGAAGTGTAGACTTTTCCGGGTAAGGCTCCAACTTGAGTGCCCTCCCTGTCACCAATGGCTGTAGCATTTGGTACAAAGTAACGGTGAAAATAGAATTTCCTGCCCAGTTCTATTCCAAGGGCTCTACAGGCTTGGCCTGTTTAAGAGCCATAAGGACTTCCATGATGCTAACGCTGTTCTCACTGTTGAACAGATGTGGAAGCTGAAGGTGTTGCCTTAGTGACCAGAGTAGAAGTTTGAGGCCAGAGCTCCAGGTGGTGGCCCATGCCTTTAATACCAACACTCAGAAAGCAGAAGCAGGTGTATCTCTGTGAATGAGAGGCCACCTTGGTCTGTTTAGGGAGTTTCAGGCAGGCTAGGACTACATAGTGAGACTGTCTCAAAAAAGGTTGACCCATAAAAAACTTTTTATAATAGCTGGGCGTGGTGGCACACGCCTTTAATCCCAGCACTCGGGAGGCAGAGGCAGGTGGATCTCTATGAGTTCAAGGCCACCCTGGTCTACATAGTGAATACCAGGACAGCTGGGGCTACAGAGAGACCCTGTCTCAAAAAGACCAAAAATAAAATTAAAAAAACCAAACACTTTTTATAGTCAGGCATGGTGGTGCAGACCCTTAGTCCCAGCACTCAGGAGGCAGAGGCAGGTGGATCTCTGTGAGTTCAAGGCCAGCTTGATCTACATAACGAGTTCCAGGTCAGCTGGGGCTACAGGGAAGCCCTGTCTGAAAAAAACCAAAAAAAAATTTTTATGTGTATGACTGTATTGCCTGCATGTATGTAAGTGCACCCATGTTGTGCAGTGCCCTTATAGGTCAGAAGAGGGTGTCAGATCCCCTGGAACTGGAGTTACAGATGGTTGTTAGCTGCCATGTGGGTGATGGGAATCAAACCTGGTCCTCTTCAAAAGTAGCCAGTGCTCTTAACCACTGAACCATCTCTCCAACGCCTAAATTTTTTTTTTTTTGTCTTTTTTGAGACAGGCTCTCCCTATAGCCCCAGCTGTCCTGGAATAACCCCTAAATTTTTTAAAAATTCTCTTCTGCCTATATTGTGTGTGTGTGTGTGTGTGTGTGTGTGTGTGTGTGTATGCATGTATACACATGAGAATATGCATGTCATAGCT